ATGGAACAAGTGTGTTTAATGCAAAGGAGGATTTTGAAGATCGATGGCAACATGGCTTTTACTGTCATAAGTTATTTAGTTGGAATAGTCACTGTACTTGTCGATCACACCACATGCATGAACTGGGCTCAACACAAGCTTTCAGTTTTTTCCTTTCTAAGCTTTCCGAATGATACTGTCTTACGTAGACACAGTTCCCATAAGTGCTGGGTTCATCTTCCCCTCTTCTTTCTATCTAAATGGATCTTTTTCCTTCCTGCATTCTAGTTGTTCCCAAGCATACAGATTTATTCTTCTTCATGCCTTCAGCACTTTTGCACATCTCTCCTGTGTACCAGACACAACGCTAAAAATTTGTACAAGAAGATGACGCAGTTTCTCGACCTCAAAATTTCATGAGTGTGGGGAGTCCTGCATCTTCACAACAACTCAGCCTCATGATAAATGATGGGACAGAGGCCCCACGGCAGCCTTACGATGTCCCTTCACTTGATCACAGTTGAGAGGCTCTCTGGGGTCAGTGACCCTGCCTTATAAACAGCAGAAGGTAACCCATCTATTATGGGGTGAGTTGCTGGGCTCTTTCACAGCTGAAAGCATCAACAACACCTCACAGGAACTTGCATGAGCAGACACAATCTCAGAAAGTCACGCTGATTCTTGCACAAATCCACATGGGTGTCACTGTGACCTGGGATGGTAAAGCTAGTCCTAGAAGGTACGATTTTAAAGGAGAAAACCCATATTTCCCAAGTAGGGTGCAGCAATTATACAAAAGCACTAAAGAGCTCCCCTGGGAATCCTGAATGCCTGGCCTGGCACTGTGGTTGTCTCTGTCAGCCCAAAGAATGATGTCAATTAGAGATCGTGATTGGTCCCTGGAGATTTGCACTGTGCATATGAAAAACTCAACAAGCAAGCGAGGGAGGATGCAGGGATCAATCTGACAGAAAGACAGACACTAGAGTGAGTTCAGATCATTAAATCATGTTGCATGTGTGTATTTGGAGAGGATAACACCTCTGTACCTGTCAAGAGACTTCCAAGAAAGCTATCTATGTTCCCTACTTGATCCTCCTTTCTGTTTATCAGTGCAAGCAACTAAAGTGAACCCTCAGCCTAAGCATTTCAACCAGAAGTAAGCATAGTCTGTCCACTCCCAACAGCACGTAGGGCTAAGGGTGTCAGAGAAGGGACCCCGGGCATTCCCAAAGAATCCATCTGGTGTGTGTTGTGAACAGCCTTTATTAACATACTGGTTCTTCTCAGCCCTGTCCTTGACAACAAAACCCACAGCTTTCTTCTCTAGGCAGTCATCATTTCTTTGTGCTCCCACCCAAGCTCACCACATACAAGCCACCCAGCTTGCAGATTGCTCTTACAGTCCTCAGAGGATCGCATGTGACCATCCACATCGGTGTCCTACCTGGGGATGTTCTGTTACATTGATTGCAGCCACAATCAACAGCTGTTTGCTGCATAACTACTGTCTTGTTAGTCACCAGGTTCTTCTTTTGCATTTCTCACCACTCAGGGATTTATATTAAAAGGTAATCAGGAAGAGCTATATGGTTTAGCACCATTTCACAGCTGTAAACAAAGTCTCTTTCCTTCTGATTGACATAGAAACACTGCACTTCCATTAACGTCTGGATGACAGAGGCCCTGGCCACCATACAAACAGCATTTACTGAACACTTCACTGGGTCCTCTCAGCCTAAGAGCTCACAGACACCATCTGACTGACCTGGGACTTGCAGTAAGTTGATGAAGTGTTATTGTCCATTTGCAGATGAGAAATCCAAGGCCATAGGAGGTTAGGCAGCTTCCCCAGGGCAGAGTTAGGGGGATGTGGAGTTGGGATTGGCACCTACACCTGTCTCTCACTCGACAGCTATGCTCAGGCCAAACTCACCCTACTGTCTTCAAGGATTTTATTTTTTTCTATTTTTGAAACCTAGAGTGATTGCCCATGGCTTTTCCTATTCATTGTTGTTAGCACATGTCTGCGGTACCTAATGACCGCATTCCTCCTGTGGAGTTGCACATCTACATGACACATCTTCATTGTTTTTGTCTCCTTCTCCTCCCTCCTTCTTCCTCCCTCCATCTCTTGGTCCCCTTCACATTTGCAAATGATCCACCTCCCTGTTTCCAATGGTCTTTTATTTTGCTCTTTCACTTATGTACATTTTGGTTTCTCATATGAGAGAAACCATGTAGTATTCAAACTTGTGTGTTGGATTTATTTCACCTCATATTATGGTTGCAAGCTGCACCCATTTGCCTACAAGTGACTCAGTGCCAGGGCTCTTTCCACTATCCATTGCTGTCACCTTGAGGTGTAAATGTGCCTGCCGAGGTGGGGTATCTTCCTCCTGCTTCAGTGAGCAGGACAGACGGATGGGGGTCAGGGTACAGGGATGAAACTGCAGGGAGGCCTCCTGCACCATAGTGGGTCCATGCCATGTACAGTGGCGCCCATTTCTCCCATTCCTGGAGCTGACACCACCCAGACCTGGCTGGCCCGAGCTGGCCCTGACCCTCTCCGTGGACACGAAATGAAGCTGTGCTCAGTCCCCAACTCCAGGCTCGCATCTGCAGCAGAAGCCTTCTCTGTAAAGGAGCCTCACATTAGGATTTCAATTTTATTTTCCTGCAGGGATTGTCTTTTAAGAAGTCCACACGTTCCACTTTTCAAGGTAACTCCTTTCATTTTCAGTGGACTTTGAGTCTCTCCTCTTGCCCCAACTCCAGGGGGTGAGGTTCACTTAGGTGAGGTGGAGGCATGACCACCTCTAGGATTCTGTGACTTCAGACAGGTTGCTAAGATTTCTGGTTTGTATGAGGCCCCCACCTCCCAGGGGTCAAGGAGGCTTCAAGGGCAGATGATCAACACCTCTAGTTTCAGAAATTCTGGGGTTGAATTTGGCTGAGAAGAATAGTGCACGCCCAGATTAGCTTTAGCACGGAAGGCATCCTATTGGATGGACAAAGGGTTATCTCATAGGCAAGGACAGGAAGTGAAGTTTTTGTCAGGGCTAGAACCAGTCAATGGAAATCAATCTCCTCTCCCTCCCTCCCTCTCTCTCCCTCTCCCTCTCTCCCTCTCTCTCTCTCCCTCTCTCTCTCTCTCCTCATCTCCACTCAACAATCAAGCTCTGATCCACTTTTCATGGGTTTGCATGACCTCTGGATTCAAGCATTCAGCAAAAATGAACACAGTTGTAGCACTGCTAGTTCAAAGATAGTCAGATGAATGGATAAAGAAAATGTGGTATTTACACACACTAGAGTACTACTCTGCCATGAATTTGTACAAAAAAAGGGATGCACCTTGAGACCATAATGTTAAATGAAGTACATGAGACACACAGGCTTGAATATCACATGGTTTCTCTTACATGAGAAACCCTAGATATACATAAAGAGAAAATAAAAGATAGATAATAGAAAGTAGGGAGATGGATCTTTCTCAAATGGGAAAGAGATGGAGTTGGGGAAGGAGAAAAGGCATTAAGCTGTCTTACTTACATTTACCACCTCCCACAAGGGATGTGAACATGGAATACTGCAAACATGTACTGATAAAAAATGAAAACAAAAGCTTAGCCCATCACATAGCTTGCTGCTTCTGTCACCAGAAAGGTTTACTTTGGCTCGTGGTTCCAGTCTATAGCTCCTTTTCTCCATGGTTCCTCCATGGGCTGTGGTGAAGCAGATGATAATGACAGAGAGAAGAGAGAAGAGAAGAGAGAAGAGAGAAGAGAGAGGAGAGAAGAGAGAAGAGAAGAAAGAGAGAAGAGAGAAGACATTGTTCATTTTTGCTGAGTGCTTGAATCCAGAGGTCATGCAAATCGATGAAAAGTGGATCAGAGCTTAATTGTTGAGTGGAGATGAGGAGAGAGAGAGAGGGAGGGAGAGGAGATTGATTTCCATTGACTGGTTCTAGCCCTGACAAAAACTTCATTTCCTGTCCTTGCCTATGAGATAACCCTTTGTCCATCGAATAAGATGCCTTCCCTGCTAAAGCTAATCTGGGCGTGCACTATTCTTCTCAGCCAAATTCAACCCCAGAATTTCTGAAACTAGGAGGGGGAGGGGAAGGGGCCGAGGACAGAATCCCCCTTTAAAGTCACACCCTCAGCGCCCCACTTCTTCCAACTAGTTCCCACCTCCTGATGTTTCCATGCCTTCCCAATCACATCGCCAGCTGGGAACCAAGCCTTTAACACATGAGTTTGAGAGCATTTCCAGTCCAAATCATAACAACAGGTGAAACAAAAAATAATCACCTCTACTGCAAGGTGATTATTCAAAGTAAAAGGAATGATGACAATTTCCATAAACTTAAAGATAGAAGCAGCGAGAGCCTCAGGAAGGCAAAGGATTGGCCCTGAGGTAGGGAAGGTGTCCTAGTCACTTTCCAGGCTCTGGGACTAAATATGTGACACCGGAAACTTAAATGAGGAGAGGTTTACTTTGGCTCATGGTTTCGAGGGTTCAGTCCATGACTGGCTGCCTTGAAAGTAGAAACAGCATGGGAGAGGGGTGTGGCAGTACTTTTCATCTCATGGCAGCCAGGAAGCAGAGAGCAAAGGGAGGAGCTGGGGACAAGAATGCACAATTCCAGCATCCTCAGTGGTCCACCCCCAGCTAGATCCCACTCCTAACGGCACATTCAACTATGAACTCACCAATGGATGAATCTTGTGATGGGTATAGCACCTCATAGCCAATCACTTTCCAAAAACCCCACCTCTGAACACATGGGACTTTTGGGGACACTTTGGATCTAAACCACAACACAAGTGCTCTCAAATATGTGGCCCACCTGGGGACACTAGTCTGAGTCTGAGTGGAGGGATCTAAACCACAACACAAGTGCTCTCTTTGGATCGTTGGATCTAAACCACAACACAAGTGCTCTCAAATATGTGGCCCACCTGGGGACACTAGTCTGACTTGAGTAGGGTACCACTCACTCACATGTCCCTTACCTGGCCACAGGAAGCCTGGGGGGAATTCCTTGAAGAGCAGGAAGGGCATGGTATGAGGGCAACTGCAGATATTGAAAATAAGGCCTTCCTTGGTGACCTCAGAGATCTTGTCGGTGCTTCAATCTCAGCTTATCTAAGGTCCTGAAATGTGTGAGCATGAGCGAATCTCCAACTGTGACAGCCCCAGAGGGACAACAGTGGCCTGGAGCAGTCACGAAGACTGAAAGGCATCCAGAAAAGGGGGGTGGTGCTTAAGGCTGAGATATGCAGTCATGAAAGTCTGTGTGACTGTACCCCAAGCTTATTTATTTTTGGTGCCTTGGCTCCAACTCTGGGCCTTGCATGTGCTAGCCAAGTTCTCTACTACCACTGAGCTATGTCCCCAGACCAATAGTGCAGATTTTATTGTCACCTGGACTAATATGTAATATAGTCCAGGGAAGCAGGAATTATTACCACCAGTGTAAGAGTAAACTCAGGGGTCTGGACTTCCAACTTGAATGTCCTAGACCTGTCTCAAGTTTCTCACTTCTAGTACTCTGACAAGGTATTCAGTGTTACTTCCTTCTCTTCCAGAGAATCTTGAAAGGTATTTATAGTTAACTGAAGTATCATCTTGAAATCTTGAAGTTAACTATAAGTTTCTAAGGAAGTGCTTAATGCTGGGCAAATTTATAAGTAGTCTCTACTTTGCACTGGAGTTTACCATTTGAGGAGGAAATGCCGGCTGGTGAAAGCTCCCCAATGGGCACAGAATCTTTCAGTTAGATTCAGCATGTGGTGAAAGGCTACGGAAACAAACAGCTGTAGTTACTGTGGGACTGATTTAGTGAGATGCAGGCCCTGACTTCGAGTGTTTGGACCTAATCAGTGATTATTTCATATAGGGAATCCTCGACTTGCTTTCCATGGGTAAGGTGATTAGCTGCTTTATCTGTTATAAAGCCAGGTAACTTACAATGTCTTAGAATTATTTTCCTGACTTTTCCTCCTAGTTAGGTCTGAAATCTGGAACCATCTTCTTAAGGGATTTGCTCTGTTTGCCTTTATTTGTTTATTTTTTGGTTCTTCCATGGTCAGCCCTTCTCATTAATTGATTATTTTGACAGAACAAGCATATTGAGGTGTACTGGGGACCGCACCCAGAGCCTTTGCATGGAGCCACATCCTTAGCCCTTCTTTTTTTTAAATTTTTGTTTTTTGTTTGAAACAGGGTCTCCCTGAGTTGCCCAGGCTGCATTCAGATTTGTGCTCTTCTGTCTCAGCCTCCCAAGTGCTGTTATTGCAAGAGTGTGCTGCTGTGTCTGGCTTGTTAGAACAAATATTTCTTGAGCCCTCTGGCGTAGCAGGAAACCACCACTCTTGCTTCACAGAATGATTCTGGGAAGGGGTGTGCACCATTGACCCTGGGCATCTCTGCCTGTTTTGGAGGGATGGGTCAAGAATGCCAGATCCAGCTTCTTGCCTGGGTTAGTTGTTATGATAGTATCTAATATAACCTTCTGGGACAGAGAGCAAGCTTGTTATTAGGCAGTGGATTCCCTAAGCTGAATGTTTCTTGGCTGAAACATAAACCCACTGCACAAACACTGCCCACTGGACCTCTCTCTGCCACTCACACCTATGGAAATAGGGGGACGCAAGGGACAATATCAACATGGTACCCGAGGCTGCCCACTGTGCTGTGAGGAACAAAGTCCTCTGTCTCTGAACCAGGAGGTTTGTGTCTTTTGCCAGCATCCATGAAGCAGGAGTGGGCTGGCTTTTTGAGCTCATAAGAAGAGTACAGTAAAATCCCACACCCTGACAAACTTACACATTCTTTTCTTCTTTTGAGACAGGGTCTTGCTATATAGTTGAGGCTGGATCTGAGCTCACTATGTAGCCCAGGCTAGCCTAAACTCTTGGTGATCCTCCTGCCTCATCCCCCCGAACGCTGGGATCACAGGTGTGCGTCACCACACCAAGCCTCAAACTTGCTCTTAATTTCCCAGAATTCCATCATTCCTAAATGAGCACCATACAGAGTGAAATTTTATGGAATCCTCTAAAAATCCATTTTACCTGAAATGGGACGAGAACAAAACATCAACTTGACCGACAATTTTTTTTTTTTTTTACCTTCTAAATTTTCCTGGGTTTGTATAAATGTTATGCTCTTGAAAAAGACAAATTCTCTGGAATTAAGGTTTGTGGCACTTTTCTTCTAATAATGTAAATTAGTCAAAATTTCTGGGTACTTGCTATGTGCTACACAGGCTATCAAGGTGGGTAAGGCAGTCCCAGACCTTCTAGGGGCCCTGTTCTCACAGGAGCGACAGACACAAGTGTGTATCTCAGACACGCAAGGCTGTGTTCTGATAGAGTGGGTAAAAAGTGACTAATTGCTTAGGGAAGAGGAGGTGGCACTGTTATGCTTTGTGCAGAAGACAGGAGGATGGGAGATTCCCATGAGTGGCCAGGGGCGAGGCGGCTCCTGGGGGCAGGGGGTGTGGCAAGGAGGTGGCAGGGTGAGGGCACAGCAAGAGCAACAGCGCAGGACATCACAGGTCCCCAGCAGTCAGTAGGTCAGCGAAGTGAGTGCAGAGCTGTCTGCTAGATGTCCCCGCGGGAACCGCTACAGACTGGCCCACTGCAAAAGCCAGCAAACCTCAAACTCAGGAGAGGTAGAGCTGGAGGTGATCGGGACTCATCTGCATGGGGCGATAGCTGGGATCAAAGGAGGAAAGCTAAGCTTTGAGAATGAGCGGGATTCTACCTAGAGGCCAAGGGGGGAAGGAGCCCGCAAAGGAAGCTGCTAGAACCTTGAGACCCTGGAAGTGCAGGGAGGGGAGAATGCGTCACAGCCACTTCTGGGAAGCCCAGCGAAAAGCTGGGAAGAGGAACCTGGGGTGGGGGAGTGTTGGGAAGCTCGGGAGGGTCTTGTAAGTAATCACCATCAACTGGAAGACCTGGAGCAAAAGGGCTGAGTTAACGCTACTAGTTACTGCTGTTAAGAAAAGAAAAGAAAAAAAAAAATGGAGTAAAAGACTCAACGGAAATGAAGATTTCATAAGAATTCTTAGATTTGAGCATGTTTGTGGCCAAGATGGCAGAAGGCCAAAAAAAGATAAAAGAGAAGGAATATAAATAATGAAAAAAAATCTCAAAAAGGGTGAAACAGGAAGGCCTAAAAAACAGAAGGAGGCTTGGATATAAGGCAGAATATTGTTTCCATGAGGCATGAAAGGAGAAAAAAAATGCCAGTGATTTACAGAAAATTGAGAGTTCCCTGTAGATAAGCCAGCAGCCTGAATTAAATCGATGGAAATCCAGAAATTAGGGTGGTGGGAGCGAGGCTTGGAAGGAAGGCTCCTGCACTGACTCAGGTGCTGTGCAGGACTGGAAAGACAACCAGTTGAAGATGAATAAAAGAACTGATGACACCAGTGAGCCCAGCCTTAGCTCATCCACAATGCACCTGACCAGAGCCAGCCTGGCTCAGCTTATGCCAGGTCAGCCCAGGCCTCGGAAGTGTATGTAACAGAAGTCAAGGAGACAAAAGAAAATCTATGATACTTATACAAATTATCAATGTCTCAGTCACTTTTCTTATTGCTGGAATGGTATGCCTGACACCTGCAATTAAGAGGCAGAGAGATTTATTTTGCCTCACATTTCAGTGCCTGGCTAGCTGAGGCTAAGGCAGGATGGGATGGCATGGGGTCTGGAGGAGGAGAGCTGCTCACGGCCTGGAGAACTGGAAGCAGAGAGAAAAGAGAGGAGCTAGGGAGGGAGATGGAGCCCTCCAGGCCATCCCCAGACCCACCCCTTCGGACCAGACCCCACCTAACAGCAAGTCAGGCATAAGCCCCCATAATCCACTCACTTCCTATAAACTCCTGAGCTCTTGGTTCACAGTCAGCGGCCCATTTACCCAACGAGTGCGGACTCGGGAGCCTGAGGGGACAGTGGTGAATTCAGGGATCAGACAAAGCAGGAATCCAGGGCGGTGAGGCGCAGTGAGAGAGGATGACAAAGAGGAGGCCGGGAGAGGCTCTCGCAGGCAGGGGCCTCTCAGGCTTGAGGTGGGGCATAGGGTGGGTCACGGAAGACAGGCTCTGTGTGGTGGCTGCTGGTGACCGACGCTGTAACGAGCTCGTGTGGCCCAGAGGCCCAGGCCCTTGACAACAGGTGAAGCTGGTGAGGCCTCGCGCCGCAGGCTGGTAGCTTCCCAGTTGGCAGTGTCGACTTCGCAAATCTATGCCTTTTACCCTGTCCATGTTGTTTATTGTTAGAGGAAATTAACACTATAAATGAGCATTAAGAGCTAAGTTCTATTCTCAATTTCACTTTATTTCTAGTTGGGGGGGGGACCCAAACTCACTGATTTGGGGCACTATACTATGGTAACTAGCTTTTCATTTTTTATTTTTCTTAATTGTACCTCATACTTTAATTCTGAAGTTTTATTTAATGTGTATGTTTCCCACTATAATATAAATTCTAGGTGGACAAGGAAGGAATGACCTGTATTGTTCTCTTCTATAGCCTCCGTACTTGGAATAATTTCCGGCATGTTCTAATATCCAAAACATGTATTATTATTAAATGTTTCTAAAAGTTTAGATAGATAAATTTGGGAAACCTCTCTTAGTGCTGAATCCTATGCATTGCTTACTGTTGATAAATTAGAAACATTTCTTTTCAGGGAAATCTGTAAGGTTCAAAGGTGAGTTTTATGGTTTCTGTAAACTGTTAAATTCTTTGCCTGTACTTGTGAAGTATAGAAACAACATGATTAATCTGAATACATTCTGTAATCCTTTCTCTTCAAGTGTAAAATTTTCAGAATTTTTTTTAAGTGTCAAATCTCATCAATCTTAAAGACTTGCACAAGTATGTTATCCAATTGGGTTATAAATACATCATTTTGTTACTGAAAATTCTGTAACAATGTTTATGGCAGTTTCTGGCCACGAAGTCAATTCTGGATGTTAATTAGGACTTCAGTACCAACAACTGTATGGGTTTTAACGCATTTCTGTTATTTCAGAGTCGGTAAAGAAATTCTTCTTCCTCCTCGCGCCTCACTGCTGCCCTCTTCAGGTGGCGCATATCAGCACAACATAAACTCTGGACTAGGTTGCCTTTTTACTTAATGAAAACAAATGGGGCACTCTACAGAATAAAAAAGGTCTAAATAATTTGCAAGTGTTGGTA